TTTTAACTCAAGAGAACCTAAAAAATTCACAGCCCTAATACTTTAGCTTCTCTTGCCCCCTTTTTTTTAATATTTGAAAGATTTTGGCAGCTATGTATTAGAACATCGCTAGTAAAACAAAAACCGATCAGGAAAAATGGTTCTAGAAGGTCAGCCAAACTTTCAGCATAAAATAAATTACAGTTTCTTTTAAATTTTACTTGTAATTTCTATGTGTAGTTTAAGCTAACAAGTTTCCAGATATGGAGGAGTCTTTAACTGGCTATGCAATAGTCATGCAGGATTAGTCTAGCTCGATAAAAATAGTCTGTTCACCTTAAGTCTTATAATGTACATTTAAAGACTTGCCTACTACACTGGAAAATTTTTAAGGGGGGGAAAAAGGAAATTTTCAGTGTGCTAACTCCTTCACAGTGTTTCCACAGGTGGACACCATCACTGCGATTTTAAGGCAGCAGTAAGCCACTTCCAGAAGCAGTCTTAGAACAACTTATGAGTGTCTGAGCAGGCAGCTCTTGAGAGGTAGCTGAGAAGGTCGAAGTTCCCAGCCCTGCTTTCTCTGTACCTACTTCCCCATAAACTTACGGAGTTGAACCACATGAAGTCCCTTGACAGATCCTTTTGCTTCACAGGAATCTATCTAAAAATACAGAATTTTAATCTTCCTACATTTTTATCGCATGCACTAGCCACTGTAATTCTCTCAATATCAGACCTAATAAAGGCTTCTCCATCCAAGAACTTCAAACTATATTTAACAATTAAGATGGTGAGGAAGTGAATGAGCTCTTATATGGAGGAAGCTAAAGCACAAAGTCATAGAAAACTTTGTCAGGACTGGAACAGAAAATCGGTGGCACAGCCAGAAACAGACTTCCTGGCTTCCAGCCCCGTGTCTCAACCATAATGAATTCCTTCCTGTACATACACACGCTCAAAGAGAAACTCCAGTAAATAGACTAAAAATACGAAAACCCATGAAAATGATTGGATAAATAATAACACTTTAGGGCAAAGAAAATATCGTCCTGCCAGGGGTTTTGTCTTCCCTGAAACAGATAGCAGAAGTTCTTTGGCGTAAGCTTGCTTAACCAAAGTGAGAACAAATGCCTGTACCAGGACACGGTCGTGCCTCTAAAAGCAGTAACATTAGTTATAGAATAATGGAGCGTCACATACAGCGTTTTGTGCATCTAACAGCCTTCACTTAACAGCGCATGCTCTGGCTTTGGAAGCACTGTAAGAATTTATTACAATGTTATTAATGTTGAAGTTGTTCTTTTTTCCTCTAGATTAAGCAAGAGCTTTTAGTAGTAGCTTCGGCGCCAGACTAAATGTGTTACACAAGACAAGTTCAAAATTCATTTCACCTTTCACTACAACTTCTGTTTGATTCCAGCACTGAAGAGTAGGGCAACACCGGAGGAACACACAACACTGGCCAAAGCAACTCCGAAGGCTAGGAAAGCCTTCCAATACTTGTTTTGTTTCAGTGAAATATTTATCACTCAACTTGGACTTGTGAATTTAAGGGATCCTGCCCCCGTGTCCTAAATGAGAGCAAGCACCCGACTCTATGGCACCTAGGGGTAGGAGGAAGCAGCAGCTGTTGGTGGGACAGTGTCCTACAGCCACTCTACTAGCACACTGCTGGGGTTATAGGGACTTTTCCTTCTGACCCCCTCTTCAACACTGGAATAGGTTTGCCACACAAATCCGAGATCGCTCAAGGTTGTAAAGAGTCCTAGGTATCTAAACTCAGGTACCCAAACTCATATAAGCAGTGAAGTGGTAACCGACTGAAGGAGTGTACGAAATCTGTTCGGTGCTGAAGTGAGAGATGATTTCAAGCTTCTCATCAGCTCTTAGCGTGAAGGAGCCCATGCTCGCTCGGCCTGCGATTCCCCTTCAAGAGCCACAGGAAGCCTGTTGATGGAAATGCAGTCTTTGCTCGCCCAGCACTAGCAACAAATGACAGGTCCTAACTCATTCCTGTCTCTGATGCAGAAAGGCAGATGGACTTACATATGCACCTCCCTTGCAGTGGCAGCATTGTTTCCTTTGGAGAAAAAAAAACAACAAACCTTCAACGTACAGGGACTTCCCTGCAGCTGCTTCCTCCTGCTTATCCCCCCTCCCCATCCCAAAGGAAAATTTGCCCGTGGTGAAGGAACAGAAGCAAGGTCATTACCACGTCAGCTCTTCCTCCATAATAACTGATAAACTTGTTTTTTATTTTTTTAAAGCGTTGGGGCTTTTTGAAGGCTTTTCCAAATCTGACGGCGTGAGAGCCCAACATCTTGAAACGTGATCCAACGAAAAGAAAGCGCGCGATTAAGTTTGCTTCCTGCTCACGCTGGAGCCCGGCCAGAAGGGAGGCTGCTCTCGATTCCTGCAGCTCATGGTGCACCAACGCAGGTTCTTTGGCTCGGAAAAGCTCACACAAATTAAAACACTGCTTGATAACAAATCAGCCACGTCTACATTAAGAAAATGGGCACGCAATCCCCCTTTGCCATTCACACTGTTACCCTAAAATGACTCAGACTGCCCGCTCAGTCATATACTTCCTCACTGAAATGCAAAACCAAGTAAAAACCTGGCAACTTGGGGGTTTCAATTTTTTTTTTCTGCAGGTGGAGAAACGCTGCAGCTGAACGCTATTTCTGAAAGTGTACAAGTATCACTTAGTTCTTCAATTAGTGTAAGGTGCAAGTTCTGTTTTGCACCAAAAAGGCGCAGGGGCAAGAAGAAGCCCCAAAGACAGCAGAAACATATACCCAAGCCCCTAAAATACAGCGCTGAGCAGTGCCCATGTTCTTAACAGGAACAGTAACACGGGGCACAGCAAGGCAGGGGCTCCCACGGATGAACTGAAGGCTGATGACAGATCTTTATGATCGCTCTGAAACACATTTACCATGGCAAAATGGTCAGTGCCCCTGGTCAGATGCCCCCACCCTGTCTCTGTGCACCCACACCTTCACCCAAAGAGAAAATCAAGTGCTGATGAATAACAGAGACCTACACATCTCCATTCATTTCTCCCTCTAAACATGAAACATTGCTTGAGGTTTTGACATGTGATGTCAAATTTCTGCACTTCAGGGATTTTCATTCCAGTAACTGAGCCTGCCCCACACAGTTTTCCTCTGCAAACAAAGCCGGAGCAGGAAAACTGAGCTCAGAGCTCCCAAGGCCCGATGCAGAACTCACTGACTCTTGCAGGAAAACTCCTCTTTTAACTTGCAAGCCGGCTGGGAATAGAAACAAAATTTAACCACATGTGAGGACTGCTTTTGTGAGGAAAGCCAGGTAAGGCAACTTTATGCTAAGGTACAAGTTAAGTTGGACATACAAGAGACTCTGCCAAGCTCACATTTTCTTTTCTTGTTGACTCAGAAGCGGAAAATGCACTACGCTTTACGGTTAAGCATGAATTTCAAAAATAGTCAAAAAGGTTTCTTGTGGTTATAGCCTACTAAAGTGAAACTGTTTGATTTCACCTCAAAATCAAGGTGAAAGAGTTTCACAAAAGAAACTTACTGAGAAAGCTTGAAATAAAATAAGCAAGACCCATTTTTGCATGTTTCTGAATTTTGTCTGACATACCTTACACCAAGAAACTATGCCAAAACCCTGTGAAGTGCTATTATTTACTCTGCTTTACAGCAGACTAGAAAGGTTTTGCCCAGAGCCTTGCTTAAGTACAACTGATTAAAATCTAGTTCAAAAGAACCATGCCACCCAGCCAGATATGAAGAGATTTGTTATTCTAAGACTTAGAAATAGACTGGTTTTGATGCCAAAAGTGAGTCCATCCAAGCTGTTCTTAAGTAAATGAGTCTGTCTAAACTGAGAGTTATCTCATATCTGCCCCTAAAGGCAGCAAAGAGCTACTTTTTCAATATTTACTTAACACTTTAATTAGTTACAACATGTTTTCATTTCATTAATCAGTGACTAATGGGAGTATTTTGTGCATGTGCGATAAATGGCCCCTTTTAAATTACAAGAAACAACTGCATAGTGCAGTATTTATTTTGGTATATTAATTCTGTGCTTACATATTGAAGAAAATGCTTTCTGTACCACAAAATATAAAAAAAAAATTCAAAAATAGTCAAAAAGGTTTCTTGTGGTTATAGCCTACTAAAGTGAAACTGTTTGATTTCACCTCAAAATCAAGGTGAAAGAGTTTCACAAAAGAAACTTACTGAGAAAGCTTGAAATAAAATAAGCAAGACCCATTTTTGCATGTTTCTGAATTTTGTCTGACATACCTTACACCAAGAAACTATGCCAAAACCCTGTGAAGTGCTATTATTTACTCTGCTTTACAGCAGACTAGAAAGGTTTTGCCCAGAGCCTTGCTTAAGTACAACTGATTAAAATCTAGTTCAAAAGAACCATGCCACCCAGCCAGATATGAAGAGATTTGTTATTCTAAGACTTAGAAATAGACTGGTTTTGATGCCAAAAGTGAGTCCATCCAAGCTGTTCTTAAGTAAATGAGTCTGTCTAAACTGAGAGTTATCTCATATCTGCCCCTAAAGGCAGCAAAGAGCTACTTTTTCAATATTTACTTAACACTTTAATTAGTTACAACATGTTTTCATTTCATTAATCAGTGACTAATGGGAGTATTTTGTGCATGTGCGATAAATGGCCCCTTTTAAATTACAAGAAACAACTGCATAGTGCAGTATTTATTTTGGTATATTAATTCTGTGCTTACATATTGAAGAAAATGCTTTCTGTACCACAAAATATAAAAAAAAAATTAAGCTTTTTTTTTTTTTTTTTTTTTTTTATTTTTTTTTTTTTTTTTTTTTTTTTAAAATGAATCATTTTAATGATTAGAAACAGAACTTGGGATATGCTTCCGAATAGGGAACAAGTGAAAAATTTCTCCTCCTACTGCAACACATCTCAGTCCTGGGACTATAAGAGCAACCCACAAGTTCATAACCTTTATGCCTCTCTCTTACAGTAATTATTTGGTGAAATTATTTAATTACCTAGCAACGTTACTTTGTCCCTCCTGCGGTTTGTTCTGGTGTATTGAGGGAATCAAGACAGAAGTACTCAGCTGATTTGTGGTGACTAACGTGTTATCTATCACAAGCAAAGGTACCTATAAAAAAATGTTCAATCCTACATAAAATATTAAAAATGCCGCTATTACTACTGTCTCCAAAGACAAACAGGAGTTTTAAGGTGCGAGAGTTATTCAGATGCTGAGAAGTCTCCTCAGAACTGAAGATTTTGCGATGAAGCTTTCGGACTCCAGCAACACTGACAAGGGACCTTCCAGGGAGCATGGAAAGAGTTAACCGGAGGCTGCGGCTGCAGCAGCAGCTCTGCTGGTGACCATTTGCACGCCTGCAAGGTACAGTCCCAGCAGACACATTATCAGATTAGGGGAAGGCAAACAAACCGAATTGAAACCATTCTTCAGCGAGTCCAACCTCTTCTTCCTGTGATGTCATGCTACAAATTGCCTGAGCTTTTTTTCTCTCCTCTCCAGAAGGAGCCGGGCTGGCGAGAGGCTGCCGGGTGCTCTGCAGGAACAAACACGCTCTGGAATTTCATTTCTGCCCTGGCGAGCAGCTTGCTTTGCTTTCCGCCCCATGGGGCGAGCCAGGGAGCAAGCACTCAGAGGAGCCGACCAGCTCGTTTTACAGAAAGAAGGCTGAGGGAGAAATGCAAGCACCGACACTTTGCGGCGTCCAGAAATTTGTTTTCTAAAGCATACACTCCTGGTAAATTTGGATGGACAAGACTTTGCCATCATGATCTGCAGCCAAGAGTAAGGCAGAAAGTTCGACATCGGCTTCATTGAATCGAGGGGGAAAATGGAACTAAGCAAGTGTCGGAATGACCTCATCTGCCACAAATGACATGGTTTTTTGACTTCTGAAGACCGGCTATGTGATTACAAATAGCACTTGGAAGAGAAGAGTGACCTCTTGGTGATTACTGCTGGAGATGCACTCCCCGGCTACAGAGCTTGTGTTTCTTCTCTGAAGCTTTACAGTGCAACAAACTCACCAAAGCATATGGTTCCAATGCATCTGCAAGTTCTTCTGGAATTTTAAAAAAAAGTTGCCATAAAAATACCAGAGAAACCTCCAAATCACAGGAATTTTAAATATACCATTATAATGGTAAGCTCTAATTGTTCCACTGAGGACTCCTTTAAATACACTTTATATGGCTGTATCTTTAGTATGGTGTTTGTTCTCGGCCTCATAGCAAACTGCGTTGCTATCTACATTTTTACTTGTACATTGAAAGTGCGAAACGAGACTACAACTTACATGCTTAATTTAGCAATTTCGGATCTGCTTTTTGTGTTTACGTTACCCTTCAGGATTTATTACTTTGTAGCGAGAAACTGGCCATTTGGGGACATTCTTTGCAAGATTTCTGTCACCCTCTTTTATACGAATATGTATGGGAGCATTTTATTTCTGACTTGCATAAGCGTAGATCGCTTTTTAGCTATTGTACACCCCTTTCAATCTAAGACGCTCCGAACCAAAAGGAATGCCAAAATTGTCTGTGCTGCAGTGTGGATAACCGTGTTAGCAGGCAGCACACCAGCAAGCTTTTTCCAGTCTACAAACCGCCGTAACAACACGGAACAAAGAACGTGTTTCGAAAACTTTTCGGAGGACACATGGAAAACCTACCTATCCCGGATTGTTATCTTCATTGAAATAGTTGGGTTTTTTATTCCACTCATCTTGAACGTGACCTGCTCTACTATGGTCTTGCGGACTTTGAATAAACCACTTACATTAAGTCGGAATAAATTAAGCAAGAAAAAGGTACTCAAAATGATTTTTGTCCATTTGGTGATATTCTGCTTCTGCTTTGTGCCTTATAATGTCACCTTAATACTTTACTCCCTTATGAGAACACAGACCTGGATCAATTGTTCAGTGGTAACCGCAGTCAGGACTATGTACCCCGTCACTCTGTGCATCGCCGTATCAAACTGCTGTTTTGACCCTATAGTCTATTATTTTACATCTGATACAATTCAAAATTCGATAAAAAAGAACCGGTCCACTAGGGCACGGGACATCAGATTATCTGAGAGCCCAGTTTCGGAAAACTTCATTCAACACAGCCTTAGGACCATAAAAACAAAAATATTTGACAGTGACTCTACGATATAAACTATATCAAAAGACTACTGGGACTAAACTGGAATTAGAAGCCTGCACATTTCTTCAGCTGTGGAAATATATTCTGATATGTAAATGTTACGCTTCCTTCACATAGTGGAAATATATTCTGATATGTAAATGTTACGCTCCCTTCACATCAGCAAAGTTTATGATAAGACTGTAAAAGTGTTAAGCATAATAGTACACAGAAAAAGTATTTTAAAAATTTATGCCAGATGTCTGTTCTGATGGGTTGTATGTTAGAAACGAGCTTTTGGTTTCGGATTAGGTTAACCCAAGTCCAAAGACTGACTGTCAAGGCAAACACAAATGAAAAAGTAGGTAGGTTTTACTCATTTTTCATAATGATACAGGTTCCCAAGTTACTGAGGATGGGCGTGAAACTACCCGACTTACACTGCAGGATCCAGTTGCTGAGGAAAACAGCACCGTATTGATCTTATGGCTTCAGCTACTGTGCCTGCTCTGGAGCTTCTTCCCTCTCTTACTCCTCCCTCCCTCCTCCCTGCACCATCCTTTGTAGGGATCATTACATTCATAGGAAGCTTCGATCAATGGCCTACGAGAACTTCGTTTCTCCCAGGTTTATCTGATAAAACACATGCTCTCTCCACAATCCTGGCCCTCATAAAGCAATTAAATCTTCTGCTAGTTTAGGGCATCTGGAAACAACTCAGACAAACTGGTTTTTCTTCTCACCTCTGTCTCAGATGTCTGTGTAATTATAACAAAATAACCTCTGATGACTGAAGTTAGTGCTTTAGGTATAGTACCACTTTATTAAACTCTTTTGTGAGAAGTTCTTCAACTCGGCACAACTTTTGAGCAAAATAACATCCTCCAAATAAGGTAATTCAATCTCAAAGTAGTAGTTTCTTAGAAAAACATGACCTTTGTTAACTAGAAATGAGCATGTGCACCAACCCAAATACTTCTTCCAGGAAACTATTTGGTGTCCCATAAAGAAATTCAAGAGACAGTCATTTTTAGCGTGAAACTTCCTCTCAATCTTTGTGTCCTAGAAATATTTTTAAGATGAGCATTTAAAATTTCAAATGCTATTTTCTTGCAAACTTTATAAAGTATAAAAATAAATTACTTGGGGCTACATGCTGGCAAAAGTACTTGAGACAATTCGAAAAGTCAAAGCCATGTAAAAGGAGAAATCTCCATATGTTACTGTTACAAACAGGAATATATAGACAAGAGTGCTTTAAAACGTCCTGCTATATGTGTTTCCCAGCTATTAGAGCATCGCGTACCTTTTCCTCAAAATTAATTTAACATCGCTGTAAATTAAATAAATATTTTAAAAGGTAAAAGTAAGTCGTAAGTGTTGGTTTTTTCTCCCCCAGAACAATGGAGTCAAGAATAAGAACTGAGTTAAAATGAGTTTGCACTTTAGATTTAGGGCAGTCAGTTGCAACACAAACAGAGCACTGAGGCATTTTTACTTCAGGGCACTGTATGGAAGCGTAAATCAGTGTTGGTGAAAATGCATATTGAGCTGTCAGAGAATACGATATGTTATCCGATTGACTTTACTTCCCTTTGTGAAGCTTTTGCTTAATTGTTATTAGTCAACTGTCCACTGCCTACTGCTACTGGAAAACTGAGTTACTCAAAGGCTGCTAGAAACTAATGCTGGCTGAATTTTAAATCTAACAGCATTTTAAATCTTTATCCACACAACTTACAAAAGGAAAATTCAAACAGTATGAGCTTAAGCTACAGAGACAGCATAGATATAAATGTCTGCATAATATCTGAAAATAGGCAGTTATCTTAGCTGGGAATCCTAAACTCTTCTGATTCATATCTGACTTCAGAAAAATGCACAAAACCCCCAGCATGAGTAGAAATTCTGCACATTTTCCATATGCCACTGACAAATCGAAAGTCACTGACAAATCCAAAGTTCAAAAGCCAGATATGCATCTCTAACGTCTCGGCACATCTCTCCCTAAAGACTTTGAGACTAAAGCCCTTAATGTCACTGCTGGGCTATGTTTCTAGGCTACTACTATACCCAAGCTTGGCAAAGCTGTTACTTGGTTGAGTGCCAACTTGTTCAGCAACGCCTCTGCATTACAGCAGCGAACACCCCGGAGCCTCACCCTGGTAAAGAAAAGCTGCTCTGAGATGAAAAAACTACAACAGAAAAAAATAAAAATAAAAATAAAAAATCACTGACTTAAAAGCAGAACAAGCAGATAAAGTCGTATGTATGGGTACTCCTCCTTGGTGTATTAGCTCAAACAGCCTGTGGAAGCCTGAAAAGTAGCTCTTTCTGCTTTGCCCTCACTGTCCAGGGCAGGAGCTTCTGCTTTTTGCAGCAGCGTAGTGCAACACAGTACGACAGCTTTCCGACCAGTTAACAGCCTGGTATCTTGAAACTGTTTGAGGAAGCTTTCTATTTTTTATTATTAAACATACTTCACTC